AACACTAAGCTTGTGGGAGTTATTTCTATCCTACTGCTCAAGGTCATCACCAAGGGCTGATTTTTCACACAAAAAAATTTGCAACCTCTGGCATAAATGGGTTAAGTGTTCTCTATACTGAGATTTTATTTATTTTTATAATAAAAATTATATTTTAAAGATGGGAATCTGTCCATGTTGCCCAGGCTGGCATCAAACTCAGCTTCCTGAGTAGCTGGGACTATAGGTACACGCCACTGCATCCAGTTTGATATTTTAAATAGTAGCCATTTGCTTAATATACCATCTAATAAATCACTCACTAGTCTGGGTCCCATTTTCTCAACTGTAATGATTATTAGCAAACTGCTAATCTTCAGGGTTAACTTACATTCTGTTCAAAATTTTAAAACTAGTACTCTCTATACCAAGCCAAGACAAAAACTTAAGGAAGTACCTTGGACCACTGCAACAGCTTGTGATAGAAGTACATAGCACTGATTCCGATTCTTCCCAGTACACCTTTATCTACTTTACTGTTTTGTGGATCTTTGCTAACTGAAACACAAATAGGCATATAAAAGAAAATAAAATAGTCACTTAAAATGACAGAAGAGGCAAACTAATACAGAATTATTGATACCACCATAAAGACCAGGTGTTGGCAAGCTGTGCCCTGTTTCTGTATAGCCTACAAGCCAACAATTGTTTTCCTGTTTTCAAAGCATCATTTAAAAAGAAAATAAAACTATGTGATAGAGATCACATGTGGTGTGTTCCAAGTCTAAAATATTGACTATCTGGCTTTTTACAGAAAAAGTTTGCCAACCCCTGATAAAGTCTACAGTAGTAAAGAGCTCAGGTCAAAAACAAAACAAATTCAAAACTATATAAATTCTGTTGACTTGTAAGAGTAGAGAGAGTAACAACTTAAATAATTCAAAAATTCAGGTGCTCCACTATAATTTGCTAGCAATAGTTTTACCAATCTGAGTGAAAAGAAAAATAAGAATATGAAACATTTGATACTAAAACACCAATTCCTGACCTTTTCCCATAATCTAACTTAACAATAAATAGATGGAAAAATTCAAAAAGAGAAGGAAGAGTGTCTGAAGCCTGCATTAATTTATCCACAACATGGAAAATATTCAAGAGTTTTACATTCTTATTTTTTTTTTTTTTGAATTTTATGTTCTTGTTAAGAACACTGCCATGGGCTGAGCTGTGGCTTATGTCTGTAATACCAGTGCTTTGAGAGGCTGACGTGAGAGGATCCCTTGAGCACAAGAGTTCGAGACTAGCCTGGGCAATGAAGCAAGACTCTGTATCTACAAAAAACAAAAAAATTAGCTGGGTGTAATGATATGTGCCTGTAGTCCAAGCTACTAGGGAGGCTGAGGCAGGAGAAGTGCTTGAGTCCAGGAGTTTGAGGCTGTGGTAAGCTATGACCGCACCCCTGTACTCCAGCCTGGGTAACAGAGGAAGACCCTGTCTCTAAAAAACAAAAAAGAACACTGCACCATCCTCATACAAAATATTCAGGCCAATAGTTACATTTTACCTGTTTCAGCAAATTCACAAAAGGGAGTATCTGGTCTTTCATCTTCACAGTTTTTTGTGAGTGTTTCAGCAATGCAAGCACAAAATGTCTGGAAATCTGCAAATTTTTCACAGCCCATTTTTACGTTAATGTACAATTTTCCCAATTTGGTCCAGTCACCTTTTTCTTTACAATGCTATCAAAATTATTAAAAACAAAACAAAAGAGAAAGAAAAAGAATGAAAACTATGTCATTTATGCAAACATGTCTTTAGGCATTAGATATACATAAATTAATATGTATATCTAATGTTTTAGGCATTAGATATACATAAATTAATATGTATATCTAATGTTTTAGGCATTAGATATACATAAATTAATAAGACAAAATCTGCAGATCTTATAAACTTACTGACAAGCATCACATCAGTAACATACTATTGTAGCTTTGCTTTTCTGGCTATAGTAAAGCCTCTATAAATTCCAAATAGCAATGCACATTTGTTTTAATTATCCAGGTCTTAAAGTATTTAACTGTATTTACCCCCAAACCTGAACCTGACAGTGGGGATGGATTTATGGAAAACAGAGATGAGTAGCATAATTTGAACTGTCTCCACGGCAATGCATTATTTTACTACTTTTAGAAAGTGCATTTTAATGTTATCTGGCCATTTATAATTTGGGCCCACATATCGTTTTGGACACTACATTTTACAAAAGTGGCCACAAAGTGAATTTCAGTCAACTTATTATCTTTGTACAATTTCTGTTATAAACTAAAAAAGTTTTTCACATCAAAAGTCTTAAGAATATAAAAGTACTAATTAAAACCAGAGACACAATTACTACCTGAATACAAAAGTGATACTAAATTTAAAAGTAAAAATCATCCTGAAGGTCCTCATTTCTTATACTCTAAATGGTTGCAGAGTTCAGTGTGATCTGGGATTTCCCCCATCATTTCATGTATTGTAGCCATCCATGACAAGTACCTCAGCTTTCTTACGCACTCAGCAAGTCTGCCCAGCCTCAAGAATTAAAGACTAAGCTCTGAATTATTATTTCACTTTAATATAATTTTGAAACTGAAAAATTTTTAGAATTATTTTTAATACAGTTCACAACTCTAGAAATTAAAATGTTTGCCTTTCAAAATATTAACTTGTAAGAAAAACAAAACTTCCTTTCCTTGAACATTTTTGCTGTATAACAGCCACATTTCTAAAACTTCTCATAAAATGGGGTTATTATTCAAAACGTTTTTGTTGCTATTGATTTGCGGAGATCCCAGCAATGTATTTAAAATAATAAATGTCATACCTCTAATTTATTCAAGGCTGAATCTAAATCACACTTCCAGTTCTTTTCAAATTGCCTCATCTGTAACCTTTAACAACAGAAAAGAGTTAATTATACTATATTCACCACTTAAAAGTCACTGCCGCTTCTACTTAATCTGTCCTACAGTTTATAAGAAACCAGAGGAAAAAATGAATGTATATAATATGCTATAAACATTCTTCAGAGCTGGAAAAAGGCAGCTTATACAGACACCTACTTTATATTATTTCCTCCCCAAAACAGTAAGAAGGAAAAAGCAAATTCCACATGAAATCATACCTTCAGCCTAACTTGTACACAGAGTATGTCAAAACTTCAAGATAACTGTGACTAAAAGGAGAAAAAAAAATACCAAATCCTGGCACATGATCTCTACTGCTCCTGCCCTACCCTTACTGCTCCACAGAATTTGTGGCAATCAAAGACAGACCAAACAAAAACAGAGCAAGCAAACACACAAAACCTGACGGGGAGAATTGAAGAGGGAAACTACCAGAAAGATTTAACAATGATTTAAAAATACTGCTACAAAGGCTAAGTCCACATTAAGTTTGAAAATGCTAAAAACAAAACAAAACAAAACAAAAAACAAAAAAAACCACGTCTGGGTAGATCAGAACCACGAGGAAGGATTTTAAAAGTCTGTATGATTTAAAGAAGGCAATTTTTGAAATGCATAGTTTTTGGAAAAGAAAAAAAGACAAAAATGAAAGAAACACACTTTGGCAATTAGAAGAAAAGAAAAAAAAAGGCAGAGGGAATAAGAAGGTGCCATTGAACTAGGAGTATTATGTAATACCCAAATATGAGTTCATCAATTTTGGTAATTTATCTAGAGCATTAAGAAGGAAGAACATACTATCACATTTGGGATTAAGGAAAAAAAAAAAACAATTTTCTAACTCCTTTTATGAAGCAAGTATAACTAATATTTAAACTAGATAGACAGCCTGTGTGAGGTGGCTCACACCAGAAATCTCAGCACTCTGGAAGGCCGAGGTGGGCAGATCCCTTGAGCCCAGGAGTGTGAGACCAGCCTGGTTACCATAGTGAATCCTACCTCTGCAAAAATTAGCTGGGTGTGGTGGGATGCACCTGTAGCACCAGCTACTTGGGAGACTGAGATGGGAGGATTACCTAAGCCCAGGAGGTCCAGGCTGCAGTGAGTTGTAACTGCATTACTGCACTCCAGCCTGGGAAATAGAGCAAGATCCTGTCTCAATCCATCAATAGTCAAACAAAAAACAATAGCTTTTATAGATACAAAAAAATTACATAATGATACAGAAAATCTCATTTACAATAGCACCCAAAATATGAAGTACTTATACAAGGAAAATCATAAAACACTCCTGAAAGACACATTACTACTACTTGGAGTTAGGAAGTTGATACTAAATATATGGAGAAGCGTACATGCAAGAAGATCCAGGAAAACACCGAAAAATGATGAAAAAGAATTATCCTTACCAAATATTAAAACATACTATTAAAGCTTCTGTAGTTACTATAGTGTGGTTCCAGTGCAGGAATAGGCAAACAGGCCAGTGGAATAAAATACAAAGTTGAGAAACAGATCCCATTGTATATGAAATTTAGTATATGATAAGGGTGGCATCTCAAATCACTGGAGGTAAATATGGACATTTTATTTTATTTTATTTTATTCATTATTTTTTGAGACGGAGTCTTGCTCTGTTGCCAGGCTGGAGTGCAGTGGCGCTATCTCCGCTCACTGCAAGCTCTGCCTCCCAGGTTCACGCCATTCTCCTGCCTCAGCCTTCCGAGTAGCTGGGACTACAGGCATCCGCCACCACACCCAGCTAACTTTTTGTATTTTTAGTAGAGACAGGGCTTCACTGTGTTCGCCAGAATGGTCTTGATCTCCTGACCTCGTGATCTGCCCACCTCGGCCTCCCAAAGTGTTGGGATTACAGGTGTGAGCCACCACGCCGGGCCAAGATGGACATTTTAATACATGTTTTGGGAAAGTTGGATAATCATTTGGAAAAAATAAAACTGAATCAATTTCACACAACATACCCAAGAGAAAAAACTCCACGTAGATTAAAAACCTAACTGTAAAAATGAAATCATACAAGTAGTAGAAGAAAACATGTGCCAGTTTGCCTAAAACCTTCATGTAGAGAAATGATGACTCAAAATCCACATGCAATAAAACATAACCTTGACTCAAAACTGAGAAAAAAGATTGAAATATAAGGTGGCATAAAAATAAAACTTTTTGCATGGTAAAAAACACTAGAAGGTCAAAAGACAACTGACAAACTGGAAGAAAAATTGCAATATATACTACAAAGGGTTAATACCTGTAAGAACTCTAAAAGTTTAAGAACCAAAGAACCAAAACCTAATAGAAAAAGGAGGAAAAAAAGTGAAGAGTTCACATAAAACATGTAAACATAGCCCTCAAATATATGAATAGAAAATGCTCAAATTCATTTATGAGAGAAATGCAAGCTAAAACACCATTTGTCACCTAATAGATTAGCAAACATTAAAAAACGTTCTAATACATTATGTTAGAAAGCTAGGCTGAAAAAGGCAGTCTCATATTTCTGATGGGAACACAAATGAGTACAACTATTCTTGAGGAAAATTTGGCAATACCTAACAAAAGTTATATATACTTACCTTTAAAAGTTGTAAGTTATATACTTATCTTCACAATTTTTTGACTTTTAAATAAGCTCACAGGAATTTCCAAAAATAGTACATAAAGTCCTGTGTACTCTTCACCCAGCTTTTTCCAACAGTGACATTTTATATACTACCAGGAAACTGACTCTGGTATAATACTGTTAACTACAGGCCTTATTCAGTTTTTATCAATTTTTACATGTATTTGTGTGTGTGTATGTAACTACAAGTGTTCCATTTCTACAAAGGAACTTTCTCATGGTACCCTCTTATACTCATCCCCTCTCCACTGTCCCTGTCCCCTGCAACCACTAATCAGTTCTCCACTTCTTAGTTTTGTCATCTCGGG